CCGCCGCCGCCGCCGCCGGGCGAGCGAGGGGGGTGCGTGGCTGGCCCCTCCGAGGCGCGGCACACCCGGCAGGGACGGGTTGCAGGGGCTGTGTCACCCACCCCGGAGCCTCCAAGTCTCTCTCCCTCGCAAGACGGGTGCGCTGCCCGGGACTGCTCGCGCGTCGGCAGCCGTGCCAGCAAGCTTCAAATTAAGTAATATATTAAAAGGAAAAGGAAAAGAAAAGAAAACCCTCCCTCCCTCTCTCCCCCAAAGCCACAGCCACGAACACAACAGCTTGAGCAGGCCTGGTGCCTCCGGGGGGGGTGAGAGGTGCCTGCGTGGAAAGAATGACACCTCCAAGTTGCCAGCGCTTAGCGGGCTGCTTGCCTACCCCCGGCTCAGTCCGCGGTGTGCGAGTGCGTGAACGAGTGTGCGTGTGTGTGTGTGTGTGCGTGCGTGCGTGCGTGCGTCCGCCCCCCTGCCGCACGCTAATCCCCAGCCCCATGCCCGCCTGAGGCGCGGGAGAGGCGGGGGCCCAGGTGTGTCCCGGCCGGCCGAGAAGTACCGGGGAGCGAAGCGACTCAAAGCAGCTGCGTTGTCCTTTTCCCTGCACTCCCCTCCGCAAACGTCTGAGCAACCGGTTTGCTGCTAGAAACATGTTAATTGCCAACGGAGCTCATTAAGGCATGCACATGCAAAACACAGCGAGGGAGATTACATGGACAAAAGCGCAATAATGAACTGTCAACAATCGAACCCATCTACACGACCAGGAGCACTCAAGAATGAGGCATTTAGAGGCAACAAAGGATTGTCTGGGACAGGAAGAAAGGACGACCTAGACTTTTGTTTAGTCAACACAATTGATTACAAATGAGAGATTAACAGGATAGCTCCAGAGTTTTTTTGAAGGAGGCAGAAGAGAAAAGTCCAATTAAGTGCACCGAATGTTAACTACATTGATTTCCACCGCCAGCCCCCGAGAAATTCTCATTAAACCATCCCTGGCGATCCCTTTTGGAAAGTAATTTGTCTCCCTGATGGAGCAGAGAAAGGGAGCCGTGTAAAGAGAAAGAAGCGCTAGTTCTTGGCACAATGAGCTTAGGAGACACGCTGCAAGGAGCCAAAGGGGGAGTTAATGAGCATCTGACAAGCCGCTTGGATCCAGGCCTGGAGAGCAGTGATGAAAAGATGGAATTGGCCAACAACTATTCTTTATATCAAACATAAAAAGGCCAATCTGAAACAGGACTGCTCAAAGCTGGTGGAGAAGAAAAGAAAGGCCCCTGCTGGGGATGGAGTGGAGGGCTCCACTGCCCCGTTGGGATGGAAAAAAACCTCCGGGCATGTCCTCTCCCCAGCACGCTGCTGCTGGACAGGGTGGCCTTCCAGCCAGCGCCAACTGGCCAAACGAGGACACGGCTTGCTCGCCCTCTCCTTGTGGAGAGGCCTGCCCCCCCCCGCCACCTCCGCTAGCACTATCCTCCTTCCTGAAGTCTCTAGGAAGGTCACAGCCACCCAGCCAGCCCCCTCCAGCCAGAGGCCTGGGAAGCACCATCTGCCTCTACGCTTGCAGCCAAAGTCACACGCAAAGACTTCTGCCACCACGGGTGACGGACATCCTCCCAGCGTTCGCACTCCAGCACAGGAGCCTGGAGGGAAGCCTGGCTTCATCACACCTCTTTGCTACTGCCGGCCTGCGCACCAAGGCTACGCGTCGAACAGGGGGAGGGCTGTATTTTAAGCATGTGAAGACAAGATAGATAGTTATAAAACTTTTAACGTGGTAGTTGTTAGATGTAAATCCCAGACTCCATCTTAGGGTTCAGCTCAGCCAGCTAGCACATTAAAATGACGACCACCTTGCCTTCATGAAATGCCAGCACAGGTTTCAAAACAGACCTGGCCTCCCCTCCAGGGAAGACCTGACCAAGCCTGCACAAGTTTAAGTAGCCTGGCAGGACACTGGGCTGTCTTTTCCTCCACCTGCTGAAATTGAGCTCAGGGCATTGAATTGTGCCTACAAGGGCATTCAGTGGGTTTGCAGCTACCTTCAACTAGCTCGATTTAAACAAGAAAAAGAAAACCATCAGCTTTTCCCCTAGTCTAGACAAGGCCTGTGCAGACGCACTCTTAAAACAGTCTAGAACTGGGTTTATCTCAACTTTGGTCTAAGGCAGTATTGACTTTGGTTTAGAAGTGGCTTAGCAATTTAGCTTAAGTCAATACAGGGCTAAATTGATACAAGCCATTTCTGAACCACGTGTCCACAGACAAAGATGTTTGCATCACTTTCACTTATCCAGTTTAAGTCTGTGTGTAAACAGTTTCTTAAGGAGCGTTTGGAAAAATAATAAAAGTGGGCTTAAATATTTACAGGTTTTTGTTTCTGGGTGTCTTTTTCTCCCCAGATACCACCCGACAGGGGTCTGATAAATTAACCTAATGATTTTACAGTAATATTAACGTTTTGAGAATCTGTTTGCGGGTTGCATACTGACAGTGCTCCAGTGCTAGGATTTTGGGGGTGAAATCCTCGCTCCTGACAGCCACCAAGGGCACCAGACTTCCATCAGGATTCCTATGTACTGTGTAACTTGAAAGAGCTGCTGCATTTTTGCATGGGGAGGATTCAACCAGACTGGTGCAAACTTATCTGATGCTGGCCTCAGATTTAGGGAAGATAGGAAGAACCTTGTTCTATGGGAAAAATATTCTGTAGTTCCCTACTAGTGGGTTCTCGCATCGTCTCAAGAAAGTTCTGGTACTGATCACTGTCAAGAGCCCTGGGCTAATATTAGCATTCACGGGGTCTCCATTCATGTTTTTTTCACCATCCACCTCTGAACTCTCCTTGTGCTCTCTCTCTCTCTTTTTTTTTTTTTTTTTTACAGAAATGGTTAGCAGAATCAAAGGAGGAGAATGCACTGTGGGTTTTCACTGTGGCATTTTCAATCTCATTCTATACATTCCCCAACATTTGCCCACCCTGCACAGAGATTTTCTCCAGGCCACCTGCACCGACATTTCAATCCTCCTCTGAAGTGCCCACTGTGAGTTTAGTTCTTAACATTTTAGGGGAAAGGGAGAGAGAGAGAAACAGAGTTGTCGGCAAAATTCAGCACGGATGGGGCCTTCCGATGCGTGTCACTTTGTGTTTGTCAATATGGAATTCCGCCTGCCACGATGCCGTCCGTTCGCGTCCGCCCCAGCCCCCTTGCTTCAATAACTCTATTATCCCTCACCTTCTCTGCTTTACGATGCATACCCTTTTTGGGACCATTAATATATATCAAACGGGACCGATCCAGAACAGAAATTTCAGGTATTCCACTCCCTTGCTGAAAGTAACCATTTATTCCTGCTCTGTTTTCTTAACTGGTTTCTGATAGACAGTACTTCTCCTTCCTACGCTGCAATTCCTTCATGTAATGCTCTTTTCACCCACTGCTCTCTTCTGCCTACATTTTCACTTTCACCCTTCATTTTCTGAGCCCTTCCAGGCACCTCTCAAGAACAGATCGCGCAGACTGAGAACACACATCTCTGCGCCTCTCCTTACCATACTGCCAACATGTGCATACATGCATGCATGCAAACTCTCTCTCTCCTGCCCTCCTATAGAACACATTCTTCACTGCATTTCTCCAGGGTTTTAACAAGAGTGAGAACTGGCTATAGAACAGGTCATTAATAGAAGGCTATCAAGTGCGTCACATTTCTGTAGAGAAGGGAACCGTGGGTGGTATGTGGACTCCACTGAAACGTTTCCATGTTGGAATCTTTTCAACGGATTTTTGTTTTTGCAGTTCTCAGGTTTTCTGAGCGGAGACCAGACATTTCAGTTGGGTGGGTGTGTTAGGTCCCTAGGAGGAGCCTTCTGCTCAGCTAGTTCGGTGAGACCCATCAGAGCAGGGCTCTCTTCCTGCAGATTTGCCAAGTGAGAAGAGGGACATACCACACGCTGAATGTTTTAAACACTTGGAAGATTAACATGGAGCAGGGGGCTTTGCCTTTTCCAACCCACTTCCATCCCCCCAGCCTTTTACACCCTCAAGCCACTTACATTTCCTTCAATCCAAGTAGTCTCTTGCTCGCTAAGAACATCCCCTTCGTTCCTTCCCCAGAGGCCCCTCTTCCTCAGCCAGGTAGCACAACTCCATGCTGATCACTTCCTTTCCTTTGTCACCTGCCCCAGTTCACCTCGTCTTCCCTGCACATAATTCAGTTCAGAGCAGAGATCTCGGCGCTCTGTACGCACACAGCAGCAGCGCTAGATGAGGCTGTAGCCACTAGCAGAATGCTCCCCTCTTTCCCCAAATATGCCATAGCCTGCTGTTTAAAGACTAGAGAAACAGACACCTCTGGGAAGGGTATTTCTCTATGCCAGCCTTACATCCAAGGAATCAAAATTGGGGTTTTCTTCAGTCTGTTCCAGCACCCCATCCCATTTCCCCCCTCCCCCCAAATAAAAGATAGCGTAAGCTTTCTTTAGCTGAGAGAAGGGGAAAAGAACAACCTCCTCCAAGACTGTAACCTACCAGATTTCTTCAAAACAGAATCCTTTTCCAAGCTCTTCCCTTTGGCAAACACTTCCTCCCCAGACCCCTTCCTCAATCTGCTAAAGGCTCCACTTTATAACCTTGTGTAATCCCCAATATTAACCTTTTTTGCTGCTTACCTTAGTGTAAGATACCACAAGCTATGTTAATTATTGTGTTCATAGTGTATATCTTTGTCTCCACTAACCCAAACTACTGAACTCCAGATGCACTGGAATTTCTAGGTTAAGCCAGGTTGGAAACATTATGAATCAAAAAAAGGAACTTTCCCAAAAGTGAGCTTCAGGCAAAGTCTCAAGGCACTTCTGTAACTTTATATTTCCCTTTCCAGCTTTGTACCAAACTTCCCAGATAAACTGTTCTGAGATGAAAAGCAGCACGTAATGAGAATTTCAGAAAAATCTAGGAAGGGTTGAGGCTGTAGCAGTTGCTAGGTGTCCGCATCAACTCAGAGCTTCAAAGCTGTGGCTCCCACCTTGCATAGTGTGGTCAGGAGTGTCTAACCAGGAATACGTTTCAGCAGGTGTTGATGTTTTTACTGGGCTGGTTGCTAGTTGGTCGTATTGCTATAGAAAGAGTAGGAAGGGCAACTTCTCCTTCCGATGCAATACGTCAGTTGCTATGCCACAAAACTCCTCATCACTGAAGGAAGAAATTGAAAGCTGGCCAGGTGATTCCTAAAGCCAGCTTGGATCTCACCTTTTTGGAAGCACGATTATTGGGCTCTTATTTTACTGCAAAAGAGGATGGAAATCCTAAGCAGCGATCCGGATCCATTTAACTCATTATCCAGTGCTGCTAATGATGACAGCAGGCTAAATCAGCAGAAACTGGTCCTTGTGTAATTTGTGGAAGAGGCTGAGGGAGTCTGAACCAGCACAGCCAAAGAAAGTGTTAAAAGATCCTGAAAGATATTTGAAACCAGTGTGAGTGAGGTGCCTAAATAATTTGGAAGACCCTAGCCTTCATAATCCAGCCTGGAAATATTGCCCTCACTCAGTAATGTGTTCTGGGTGCAAATAAAGGGAGAATTTGGCTTTTAAAGCATACAGTCATTTTCATTATTCCAAGGGCACTTGGAACCCTTTACAATCATTTTCCAAAAGTCCCAATGACTCTCAGAAATACTGTTACCTTCTCTACTGCTGCCAGTTGCCAGGGTATTTTGCATAAATAAAAACTTTTTAATTCCTAACCAACCTTCTCCTCCTGATTCAGTCTGCTAATGAATTGTGATGTCATTAGCATGGGATTCTGGCATCACTAAATGAATTTAGTAGGAGAAAGATGATTATACAGAAAAAAACACCAACATACTCTGAATACTTTGACAATCGGAAACGCAGGGAAAGGAAGGAAATATCTAAAAAAAAATAACAGTACAGAGCAGCCACAATTCCTTAAACTCATTCTGAATGCAGTTTAAAGACAACAGAGAAAAACTGTGACAGACTTCATTTAAACACAAATCTTTTTTTTTTTTCATGGATTAGGTCTCTCACATTAGTATATTATAGACCTTTATTTCCAGGGAAGCATACTAGCAGTGGATCTATTGTTCCTTTTGAATGATCAGTGCTATTAAGTGATTAAGAATATACAAAGATTCTTTAGTTTACTTTTTGGGAGTACATTGCTATGTGTGGATGTCTGACCGGGAACACCCCCCCTCCCTCTGAAATATAAACTCTGCCCTATTTTGTCTCCTGAATGAAAAAGCATTTGCTCAAGATTTTCCTCAGCATTCACTCTTCTATCTCAATTCAAACTTCCCAAAATGATGGAGAAAAACCTCCTGCTTTGGGCTTTCCTAAGTATCAAGTGTCTACCTCTGAGCAACTCCATCTTCTCAGATAACCGGTTGGGTTTTTTTGTTTTGTTTTTTAAAGAAAAATCTTTGAGTAGAACCAGAAAGCATATGTGTATTTGTGGCTGCAGCCGGGAGTACGGTGCAGGCTGGAGAGCAGCTTAAACAAAGGTGCAAGCTTGTGGTTCACTTTGTCGACAGGAAGCTTTTCTAGGGAGACAGAGAGAGTACTTTGAATGAAGCTAGTGGGAGCATACACAAACTAAATATGGATGGAGAAATGTGAGTCGGGAAACAAAGCCTATGCTTTGTGACACTGCTGGGCATATTTGACAAGCACTTTCTATTGTGTTTAAGCTGTAGAATAGCCAAGGAGATTGTGATTTGAAGGACAGTATTTTTTCTTATTCTTTCATTTATAACCTACTTGTAAAATAATCCTACGGCATCTGGCTTTGCTCAAACCCACTTCATGTGAGTGATGTAGCTGTCATCTCACACCATTCAGGAGTTTCATTTAGAATGTTTTGAGAGTCAAGAAAAAGACTGCTTCATTTTTTGGTAAATGTTATCACCACCGCTGATGGAACTTATGAAAGGGAATGATCACATTTAGTATTCATATATATGTAAGCCACATTATTAATAAACTTCTAGGACATGGCTAACAGAAAGGACAGACAACCAGTAGATTTGATATGCAGCGTGCGCAAATTAGAGCATTTAAAAGAGCTGTTCCAGCTGTGTTCAAAAGGAATAGCAAATTCCAAATGTAAATTGTCCTTTTACTAGAAAGAAATAACTTAACACAGCCAAAGAATCCAGTAATGAACTGTTTTTGCACCTCTCTCTTGCACAAGGGCTTTAAAAACTCTATCCTTCTCTTGCTACTGAAGAAACACCTTAGACAATTTTGCATCCCAAATATTTAAGTAACTGTTGTAAAAGAATAAAACCCAGATGGATCATTGCATCTCTGGATTTGTCAGAATACAGGGTTTCTTAGCAATGCATTTCAGAAATTCTGATCTTCATGCAGCAAATTCACTGTTTCAATTCAGCATCTAACAAGAACT